CACCAATATGCTGAAAAATCCTGCATATTGCAGCCTCGTTTAAACCATTAAGTGTTTAAAGCCACCGCAATTCCCAGTTCAAACATCTAATTCCTCCAAGATGAAGCCAGTACCAACCACATTGGACAGCCTACCTTTTTGCCTTCAGAACATGTAGAACGGCTCTAAAAAACAGCTCATCAAACTCCAGTTGCAATTTTTCCACAGAGTAGGGATGCGACACTGATCCGTACTGCTTATTGCTGCTAACGTATTGGGCCCAGTGGTCACTCACATGACAAAGTGTCATCCTGCACAGCACAACAAACAAGTCCAAGGAAGAGGGATTGTTAAGTATGTCATCACCATATAAAAACACAGTCACAAGAGACACGTTCAACTCCTTGTCCTCTGGTATCCAGAGATTTCCACATAAATAGCATTCCCCTCCCTTCTTCAGACAGAGTTAGTCTAAAATTCCTGTGTTATCCTTCCTTGGTTTTGTAAGCAAACAATGCATAATGTTTGACCTTTGTGTGTGAACTTTGGAGCCTTAAGGTAATCCCACATGAAACAGCAGTACATGCTAAAAGCTCATACAGCAATAATTACACTGAGAAAGTTACTGCTCTAATAACACAAAGGAAAACATGGATTTTGTTTCCGATTTAACTGTATTCCCCCTTGAAAACACTCATAGAAGCCATATGAAGTGACTGCTAGAGATTTAAAAATGAAGAGCAACCTTTAGGTTTCAGTTTGCTTATTGCAACAATATGATGATTTTCAAGGTGCAAATTCAAAACCTTAATGCAGTTCTGGATAACCAGGGAAAGAAAGCAATAACACTGATTATAAATAGGGATGGTTCAAGAAACTGTTGGAGATCACTGACTTTCCAAGACAAGCCTAAGCACATCCCTAATGGAAGCAAGCCTGGTGTTCCACAGCTCACCTGGCTCCTTTGTAGCCACAGCATTTAGACTCTGCGATTCTCCACTTCGCAGGCAGCTTTAGAGTCAAGCACCCTGGGATTTCAGATTCCCGGATCAGATAACCCTAAACTCACCAACTCTCAGAGCAAAAGCTACCCAAGAACTCAGGGGACAGGGTGGACAGGGGGGGTGGTGTTGTCATATTTTAGCTTTTTTGTGAAGGGTTGTTTACGGTTTTTTTTGGCAGCTCAGAACTTTAAACCAAACTGTATGAAAAAGATTTAATCATATCTCATAGGATATATTTTCTTACTTGATCAGCTGACCAATTCGCTTCACAAACTGTCGGTACCGTGCTCTGTTAAACGTTTCTAACCCTGCAGACAGAAGTTCCACTAAAGAGTTTGCAAAAGCAAAAATCTTCATCATCTCCTGGGGAGTTGTTTTTTCAGGAAAATAAGCACCTAAGACCAAGACAGAAAAAAGCAGGTCTTAAAGTGAGTGAATTCTGAGTTTTCTAAGCAACTTAACAAGCACTGGAAGCAACAGTTCACCACATGGCAAACAGTTCATTGTTAGCTATAGTGAACTGAAATTCATGTTTTGTTTCCAAAATTAACAATAACATACCTGTTAAGTACAAATAATATATGCAGGTTATAGGACATCTAGCAAGCAGTTATCTTCACATACTTGTTCAGAAATTTAATGATATAAAGAATGACTGATCAAATAATTGGAGAAAAAA